TGGCTGGAATTAGTGGGAGAGGTTGAGCGGGTCTGGGGAATGGGGAAAATTTACTCTTATCAGTCATTGTGCTAGCATGGTGGGTATCTGCTGTTGTGACTTCCATCTCCCAGCCCTCCCCGCCATGGAGCCGTGAGCTCCCGAGTGGAAGGGCTACCTGCAGCAACCTATCTGCCCAACAAGCGCCTGCCCAAGCATCTGCTGACGTTGGGTCCTCTTCATACTCATGCTATAATGCACTGTGGGCTTCAGCTCCATGACTCTATTGTAATAGTGAACATGCTACACATGTATATATATTTATGTAATTTGGTTCTGAGACAGCCAGTGACTCCATCAAATCACAGGTCCTCACAGAAACCTGGAGACCTTGGTTGCTATGAATCCAAAAAGACTTTCAAACACTCTAAGACATGGCACAAGAAAATAATCCATGTCCCATGTTCTGCTTTTAGCCTACCTTTAAACCCAGAGAATTAAATAAAATTCCTACACTCCTCCACTATGTTGTTATCCCATATATATTCATTATATTTGTCTTTTGCTTAGCTTACCATGCCTGACACAATGTAGGAACTTGATAAATAGTATTTTTTCAAAATATTATTCTTGTCAATAAAAGTCACAAAAAATCAGTATCTTAATAATAAAAATAGACCACAAAGAATATAAGGCAAAGTATAGTGCAGGGGGAAAGGAACCCAATGAGGCCTCTGAGATACGTATGAGCATAAAGGGAGAAAACCTCTCCCCTTCACTATGTGTCTACCCTATCTCGCCTTCCAAGAAAAAATCCCTAGGTAATTATCCTTCTTTAGATTATCATAGTACAGATTTTAAAATGTGACTCCTACTACAAGCAAGTACTACACATTTGAGGAAGTTCACTAGCATAAAAGATAAATTTTTAATAAATGAAAAAGGAACGTCGACTCTAGATTAATCAAATATTCAGAAAACACATTCCAAATGAATCTGATTTTCACCCTCAAAATAAAAGACATTTATATACATGATGTAAAAATAAAATCTTTAAAAATGATTGCTAAAATGTAAAAAAAAAAAAAAGAAAACAAATTTAAAGATAAGGAGCGCTCAAAAAAACACAAAAGAACTAATAGACAAAATATATGAGAGGAAACCTTAGTGATCTCAGGGAGAAAAAAGAGGAAAAAGAACTGAATAAAAAATTATCAAAGGAATAACTGAAGGGAATTTTCGAGAGCTGAGGGGCATGAGTACCCAAATTAAAAGGACCTGCTGAGCACTCAATAGAAGAGTAATAAAAGGCCAGGCATAAGTCAAATTATCACGAATCCCAAAGTAACAAGCTAAAGGTAATGTTCTGAAAGATTCTGAGAAGGAAAATATATATATTTACTATAAAAAGACACACAATGATCACAAGAGAAGCTAGAAGCAATTAATACATTTCTTCAAAATTTGAGAGAAAATGTGCTTTCCATCTCAAAATCTTATACCAAGACAAATGATCAGTTTTGTGTAAAGGCAGAAAGAAGGAAAACATTCTGAGAAGTGTTTTCTTGGGGAAGGTTACCTAAAACATCTTTCCTCAGAAAGTTACTTAAGGATCTTTTCCTGGAAATAAAGGTAGTAAATTCAGAGGCACAGTGGCACCAAATGCAAGCAGCAGCTAAGTGAAATCCCAAAAGGACAACTGTGCAGCGGTCTAAGGATGACTGGTCAAGGTTGGCAGAGCAGACAGAATAGGCCATAAAAGAGCACCAGAGAGACGCAAAACAGAAGTCTAAAAACACATTCTGCAAACTATCCAGAATGACAAAGCCTTGGACGGCAACTGAAAACATAAAGTAGAAGTAAAAGGAGGAAGGAGGAAAAGAAAGAAGGAATGAAACAGAGTCAATGGGTAGGGTAAGGAACCAAAATATTCGGAATAAATTGTCATCTGTCCTAACACGCATGGATTTTTCCCTCGTTACGATGCCCTCAATCATTCACTAGAACAACTATTTACATAGATTTTACATGGTATGAGGTGTCATAAATAATATAGAGATGATTAGTACAGAAGCATGGGGGTTATGCAAATGTCGCACCATTTTATAAAAGGACTTCCGCATTTGCAGATGTTGGTGTCCATCCGCAGGCAGGTCCCAGAGGAATTCTTTGAGGACTTGAAGGGACAAGTGTAACTGGTTTGACAGTGTTAGTAAAGTGACTGTATTGGAAGATTAGCAGGGTAAGGAGGTAGCACAAGAAAGTTAGTCTCAGCTCCACCAGAAGAGGTAGCCAGTGGGTCCTGTTTAAAGTGGATGAACTAAGCAATGTTAATATATTTGGGGATCTGGGGGTAAGGAGCAGAAAAGACAAGAGGAAGAATTGCATGTGGCTGCCTGTGGGGAATCACAGGTGAATGGGGCAGGAGCCAGTTGCTCTTCCTTAGACCTTTGGGTACAACTTGATAGCGTTCACCATGAGCATGTATGACTTTGATTTAAATATTTTTCAGTATCACAAAGTGTAGATATTGCATTTATATTACACAAAGCAGGCTTTGCACGTAGGGGTAAGAGAGTTGCTTATAAATGAAGGGATAAAACACTTCTTGGTCTACAGGCAGAATGGAGTGAGTTCCCATGACAACTCTGCATGGTGAGGAATGTGGCCAGCTGCAGGAGGCTCTGAGAAGGACCGACCAGTTCCCTGGAGGAGGGTCCCCTTCGTCTGGCAGTGGCTACTGCGACAAGCTAGCAAGACAAGCGGGAATGGGCCAAGCTTCTCCATCTCTCCCCAGGACCCCATGAGGCACTAACAGTGACTCACGGTAGTGAGTTTGGTGTCTGCCTAAGGTTATCAAAATCTAAAACACCAAGTCCAGACAGAATTTTCCTACACAAATATTATTGGTAAAGTGATCAGCATGGAGGCGTGTGTTCTGGTGTAGCAACAAAATATTTCTGGTAAAGTGATCAGCATGCGTTGTGGCATAGCAGGTAAAGTGGCTGCCTGCAACGTGGGCATCCCTTATGGATGTCTTTTTGAGTCCCGGCTGCTCCACTTTTGATCCAGCTCCCTGCTAAGGTGCCTAGGAAGACAGCAGAAGATGGCCCAAGTACTTGGGCCCCTGTACCCACATGGGAGACCCAGAAGAAGCTCCAGGCTCCTGGCTTCAGCCTGGTCCAGCCCTGGCGGTTGCAGCCATTTGGAGGGTGAACCAGTGGATGCGAGATTTGTGTGTGTGTGTGTCCCTCATTGTAACTCTGCCTTTCTAATAAATAGGTTTTTAAAACAAAAGTGATCAGCTCACCGTGCATTAAGTAAACAAAGGCTTCCCATCTGTCAGTTCTAAAATTGATAGTGATGACTAATATATACTGAAAATTAGTTGTGTAACTGAAAGCTTCAGAGTTACCATGTACTTGTACCTTATTTCATTTGAATTACAAAGCAACTCTAGGATACAGACAATGCAAAAATATTACTGCACACACACCCTTTTTAGAAAGTGATTTGTGTAAACTTGCCTACCTTGTTGGGTCGCAAGTTCTCTACAATCTTTGTCCCTTGATTCCAAATCTTACCACCTGCAACAACACTGGCTAGCCCATAAGTGTTAATTGACTCCAAAAGGACTGCCCATGCACAGGAATGGTGTTTGCTCCATGCAAAGGCAGGCATCCTGGTGCTGGATGGGAGCTGAGACCCAGCCCTCAGCCCTCAGCCCTCCCACCAACCACAGCCCTGTACTTTGTGCTCAGGTGAGCCTTTTCACAAACATAAGGTAACAGTTTATGGCCTGCCTCCCTCATTCTAATAACTCCAAACCCCACATCACTCCAAAATGATAATTGTTTTATTGGTTTCTTTCTTTCAGAACCAAAGACACATCAGATCCATTCTTTCATCAAAATAAACAGGAGCTAAGCCACTTAGTTGCCTGCTGCTGTTCTAAGCGCTGGGGAAGGAGTGGTTAACAGGACACACAAGGTCTCTGATTTCATGGAGTTGGTATTTCAGACATAGGAAATGCAGAGAAGCACAGGAATGCACAAGAAAAAAATATCACAAGTGGTAAGTGCTGTACAGGGAGTTAAAACTGACTGATGCAATAGTGATGGCGTAGCTGTTTCAAATTTTGGGATTGGGAAAGTCCTCCCCAGGAGGTGCCATTGAAGTGGAGAGTTGAGTGATGAGAGACAGAGCACCCAGGGAAGAGCTAAGAAAAGAGAATTCCAAGGAGATGGATGAGCCAGTGCAAAGCACTGGGCACAAAAGCCAACGTGATCTGTCAGTGGGAGGCATTGAACCAGAGTCCGAGCCTCCTGGGTTGGGGGCGTGGTGGGGAGGAGGAAGCTGGAGGGACAGGCAGGGGCCCCACTGCAGCAGAGTGAGCCAGTGAGGAGTTGAGATTTTATCCCAAGTGCAGTGAAGGAAATGACGGTGGAGGGGAATGACAGGATCGGACTGGCTCACTGCACATAGAATGGAACTGGATGAGCCAACAGTGGAGGAGGACTCCAGTCACCTCGGGAGGCTTGCGGTAGATGGACAGTCTGGTGTTCATGAAACTGCCGAAATGCTCAGACTGCACCAGGCCAGGGCAGACACGAGGCCTCTCTATGAATCTGCTACTTGACCCAGACCGTAAGACTACAGGAAAAAGAGTTGGGTAAGCTCAGGTTTGGTTTCTGTGAACGGGCAGCATGGTGTCTTCTCTGCACAGCTCCCTCGGCCTCCTCTGGTGGAGCAGGCTGTTCAGTGCACATGACACTGTGTACACCTGCCTGCTCCATGGATGGCGAGTTCCACGAGGCCGTCCTTTGCCTTAGTCACCTCTACATCCCTCATGACTTAACCCTACACCTGCTACTTCACGGAAGCCTAGAGATAGCTTAAAGGTGGCTAAGCATTGTATCTAGGGGCTGTGCAAGATCCCTCTTGGCTTCTGGAGCTGAAAGGGCAGACTGATGTTGGAACGGCAGACTCCGAGTGGGACGCCCCAACCCCCCGGTCCTTACCTCTTGGGCGAGTCAGGGTCAAAGCAGGTCTTGCGCACGTCCGCCACCTCCGGGTCGCAGCAGTCTCCATCGTCAAAGTCGTTCAGCATGTTGTTGCACTCCGCGTGGCAGAGCCCATCCCTGCGGTGCCAGGAGTAGCAGCGGCCCTGCAGGCGGCAGTCGCCCCCGTCGTAGCCCGTGAGCGGGTGCTCGCACTCGGGGTCGCAGTGGTCATTGCCAATCTTGCTTGGCTCACAGTTCACGAGCACGACCCGGTGGCGCAGGGTGGAGTTGCGGACCTGGTGGACGCTGAGCTGCCAGCTGATGTTGTAGCGGTTGAAGGCCTCGTTCAGCTCCTTGTGCTGCCGGAGGATCTGCTCCTCACTCACGGTGGGGTTCAGACCCTCGTCATCACAGATGTTCACCACCTGGTAGCGGATCGCCTTCTCTCCCCGGAGGGGCCGGTGCTGGTTATACTGGGAGATCAGTTCCACGTTGTCACAGGCCGTTTGCCCGCAGAGTGGAGGCTGCAATGGTGACAGAATCTCGGGCTCTGGCTCAGCACCCTGGAGCACCTCAAGCCGTGGGTATGCCCCATCCCTGAAGGGGACCCACTGTTCTTTCAGAAGATCGAAACTGGCTGTCAGGATCAGGGTGGTGGGCTCCTCCACCCCACTTGGGTGCTGAGGACCGTGCTGAAGGTGGCTCTGTGGGAGGGCGCTTGACCAGAGGACCAGTGTGCCCAGATGGCCACGAAAGTGGTGCCTGTCCTCAGAGCTATCCCCTCCCAGGAGCAGGGCGCGGCAGGATGCCATGAAAGGGCTGTTCAGGGGGCCGGTCTGCCCTGCGCTACCGGCCACCCGAGTGCCATCCACGTACAGGGCCATACGCCGTCCGTCGTAAGTGGCTGCCACGTGGGTCCACTTGTCTGGCTGGTAGCGGCTGTGGCCGGTGACAACGGTGGCTTTCTGCATGCGGTCCGTGCGGAGGGAGAAGAAGAAGCGAGCGTCTCGCCTTCCCTTGTCTCTCCCTGAGCGGATGCCCAGGGCCCAGCCCTTATCACTGGTGATGTGGGAGCAGTTATCAAACACACCTGGGAAGGAAGGTGGCACCGAGGGGAGAGATGCCAGACACAGAGGAAACGGAGAAAAGGAGAGGAAAACCCGTGTGAATAGCAAGGAAGTATGTTTTTAATGGGGAAAAAAACAGGTGCTGCCGATTCCCCCTCTGGGATGCCTGTCCATCAGGCCATTCTATCTGAAGAAACAATCTGATTGGAGACTCCTCCACCCAATTTAACATATTCTTGCATGTCTATGTAACCAGAACAGAAGCTAGGGAGCAGATACCTGATGCAAATGACCACCAGGCCCTGGCACATGTCCTCGGGTGCTCTTGGTGCCACAACGTGTGGAATCCACGTCTTCACCCACTGACCCCTGCCCCTTTAAATTTCCTGATACCCTGAGGACAGTCACAGACTTTGCAAATGAGAGAAATCTCGTATCACTCAGAAAGTCATCCTTTTCTACCTAACATAAAATGATGATTCTTATGGGGACAACAAGGAATTGGTGTATCAAGGAGTCTCATGGAGGAAGCTATACCATCCCAAATGTTGCTGCTAACTTGCTGTTCCCTCTGCACCTCTCCATGGACGAGGGAGTGGAACAGCCAGGTTTCCAACCAGCGCCTACATGGATGTTGGCACCACACCCACTGGCTAAACCCACTATGCCACAACACCGGCTCCTGGTGATAAATATTAAAAACACAATGGGGATATTCCAGTTTTGATTATTTGGGGCTTGTTGTTACAATGAAGTGTAATGGATCATCAGAAAGACTGCTTTATGAATGATTATATTGTGTGGGTTCTCCAAAAACAAGCTAAACCAAAGAGATCAATACTATGTTCCCTGATTCAAATTTTCTCTTTGGTTCACTTATTTTAATAAGCATTATTTAGCCTTAACCTATCCATCTGCTAACCTATGAATGAATGCACTACAATATACATTGTATATATACAATATACATTTCTGATAATATACATTATAGAAACATGGAGTTACGAATACATCAGGTATCTGCTGTTTTGCTGAAGTTTCATTTTATTTATTTGAACGGCAGAGTAACAGAAAGGGAAAGGGAGAGAGAGATATCGTCTATTTGCTGGTTAATTCCCCAAATGGCTGCACCAACCAGGATCCTGGAACTCTACCCAGGTCTCCCATGTGGGCAATAGAACCCCAACTGCTTGGGCCATTTTCTGCTGCCCTCCCAGGTGCACTAGCAGGAAGCAGGATTCAAAGTGGAGCAGTCATGGCTGGAAGCAGTGCTCCAAAGTGAGACGCTGACATGACAAGTGGCGGCTTAACCCACTGCACCACCCTGTTTGCTGGTTTTTAGCAGAACGAATTGAAGAAGCTATTTTATATCTGCTACATACACATAGGTATGTGTATGTTTTTGAGGATAAATTATTATTAGACTTGATATATAAATAACCATGGAATCAACGTGATTACTTTCCAGGCATCTAGTTACAATTTTGAGCACTTTAATTTACTGTTCTTAGAATTTCTATTATCAATAATATTCTTTTCACTTACCTGTCTCATAGGAAGCTATATTATTGATAGTGTATCTAAAATGATATTTCTAACTTCTTGAGACATATAGAATATAGAATTTTCTTATCACACTAGTTTTGTTCTGATTAATGACATTTAGCAATTATATCACAAAAGATTTATTATCCAAGGGCACTAAAATAATCTATTTTACTTGAGACGTGTAGCAAATACATAGAATGATGATTTTCTTAAACAATTACTGAAATAACAATTCTTTGCTCTTTAATTTATTAAGGTGTCCAAGCAGCACATGAGAAACCTCACTACACCCTGGGATCGCTGCATTTTACCCTCTGTGCTCCATCATTCATGTTGCATCTATACAGAAAGCAAACGGTTGCTGGAATACTGTCCCGTGCTCCTTCTAGAAAAAAAAGCAAATTTAGAAATCAGAACTCTCTAATGCACCCTCCCAACCCTAGCTGTGGATTACAATCACATGTGGAGCTTTCACGAGCACAAATGTTTGTGAAACCACATTGAGAACTGTGGATATCCCAATATCAAAAAAAAAAAAAAAAAAAATCCGGCTTCTCGCTTCTGCTCAGAGCAAGGAACTGCGGCATTTACTAACCGGGGAAGGTTAGTAATTGGGAAGGTTGTTATCAGCAGTGAGGGAAGCAGACAGCTCATCTGTAATTCTTGTAAACTACTCCTTTAAAATCATATCAGATCAGGCAGCTTGGGTATCTCTGAGGTCTTCACACAATAGCAGAGCAGACTAGCAGAATGAGGGGTAGTTAAAAGAAACAAGAACTCCCTATGAATAAGTGCACAAAATCAATTAGCTCACCCATGCACCTGTTCAGTAGAGTCCTGAAGCAATCCTAACTGCCAATCTCAGCAGTTGGTGCTAAGGATTCTGTAATGATTGAGTGATTATCTGGCATCCTGGGAAGTTCAGTATAATGTAGAAGATAAATCTAAGATAAATAACTGCAGCAAAATATGCTGACTGTAGAAGGTATTAAACCTATAGGAACAACCAAAGGGCCTTTTTACTAAAACATGACACAAAAGTTGTCTCCAGTTACGAAATATCAACTTCCCATCATTGCTCTGTCTTGTTAATAATTCAAAAGCCTAAAAACTGCCCTTCCAAGTCTACCGACATACTACAGCTACCTTGATTATTCTTGGATATCAAAGAATTCCAAGAGATAAGTTCAAATGTTGTCAGGTCAGAAGTCCTGCCACTCAGAGATACTGCCAAATTCCTTAGAACCTACACTTTGTAAAGGACCACTCGGCCGAGTCCTCTAAAATTGTCTTTTTCTGGTGACTCCCTTTGTCCTTCTCATTCATACATGACTTGAGCTCTCTAAATCAATCTTGTAGATACTCTCACTTAAGGGGTGAAGTCATTTGGTGAGCTAAGCAGAATTATTACCACCAGCCTCACTTTTGTAGGTGGAGAAATGGAGGCTCTAGGAGAACAGGTGTGCTAGAATCAGGATGTAGTGATCCTTACCACACCTGTGCTGGGGAAGACCCCATTACAGGGTGATGATAAGCCTGAGTCAGCCAGAAATGTCGGCCCCCAGTGAAGTCTACACTTATCTGCTATGTGTCCCCAGAAAAATTCACACACATTTCTGAGCCCCACGTTCCTCATCTGCAAGTTGTACCTGAGACATAAAATCTGTGCACCCCAGGTCAGCTTTCAGCATCCTTCAACCAGAAAATGAGACCACAGAACTACCTAGAATGATGGCTGTGATCATTAAGTAAAAACACATGTAAAAGATGGTAGGACAGTACCTGATGCACGTAAGACAGTCAACAACAGCTATGCTCAGGAGAAGGTATTTCATGAGATCTCAAAGGGAAAACAAAATAGATATAAAACTAGTGGAATGCAAGTAAAAGTTTAGCAAGCAGTCACAAGGAGAAGAAGGAGGGGGAGATTTATAATTTCTGTGGTGGAAATTACTCCCACAATATTCAGTTTCCGGTAACCAATATGATGTCACTAAACATGAGTTGGGAAGAGATGTGTACAGTGGACTCTAGTGGACCATGATAAGCTGGGTCCTGCACAGCAAAGACTAGAAAGGGAAGCAGACGCAGGCCGTCACCTTTCTCCTCTGCCCCTGACTATTCAAGTGCATGTGGTTACTTTGCTGATGATCCAACTTTTTGTAATTTAAAAGGGGCAACTATGTCTTCTCCCTGGGTTTGGCGCCTATCTGAGCACCCAGTGACCCATGTGGGCATTGGTTCGAGTCCTATCTATTCTGCTTCTGATCCAGATCCCTGCTATTGCACTTTGGAAAGAAGAAGATAGCCCAAGTCCTTGAGCCCCTGCCACTCAAGTGAGAGACCCAGATGAAGCTCCTGACTCCTGACTTCATCCTGGCTCAGCCCTGGCTGTTGCAGCCATTTGGGGAGTGAACCAGTGGATTGAAGATCTCTTTTTCTGCCTCTCCCTCTTGCTGTAACTCTGCCTTTCATGCAAAATAAATAAATCTGTTAAAAAATAGTTATAGAGTCATTAGGAGACTCGCCTTGCTTCTAAGTCTCACACTGCAAAGGCTGACGATACTAACACAGTCTCAGCCAACACAGCATAGTTGGTGAAACTCCGATCTGGTGCAACATTGTGATTTTGTAATCAGTTTGGATGTGCATGTGATATAAGCAGACATGTTATAACTGCTGTTGAACATCGTAGCTGGAAAGTCACAAACAACTCTTTAAGGGGGAGAATTTTTAATAACTACCCAATGGAGGGACCAGGTCACGAGTATGATTTATGAAATCACTCAATGCCTAAGTGAACCGTGATAGCCCATGGGTTAGAAAAATCAGATCAAATGATGCTAACTCAAAAGATGTGGATAGTGGTGAAGCCAAACCTTTGGACTACATCATCTTAAAACTCACGGAGAATTATTTTTTCAGCTCCTGCTTACAACTGTCTTTTCAATCTGTGTACTAATTTACAATGTTCAAACCTCACCTTGTATTTAAGCTGTGTTTTGACAAAAAGGAAATTAAGGGAATATATTTTGTTCATTATATTCCTGATCTTAACATCAAAAGTCATATTTAGAGACCATGAGGGCAATACATCCATGTGTGTTTTAAAAAATCATTTGTGGGCCAGCATCGTGGTATAGTGGGTAAAGCTGCCACCTGTGGTGCTCACATCCAAAATAGATGCCGTTCAAGTCTCAGCTGCTTCACTTCCAGTCCAGCTCCCTGCTAGTGGCCCGGGAAAAGCAATGGAAGATGGCCAAATGTCTGGACCCCTAGCACCCATGTAGGAGAAACAGATTAAACTTCTGACCCAGCCCGGGCTGTAGTGGCCATCTGGGGAGTGAACCAACGGATAGAAGATCTCTCCCTCTTTCCTTCCCTCCCTCTCTCCCTTCCTCCCTCTCTCCCTCTCTCCCTCTCTCTGCAACTCTTTCAAATAAATAAATCTTAAAAAAAATCGATAGCATCTAGT